GCGCCCACACCCCTTCGGGTGAGGCCTCATGGGGCCCGGCCGCCCTCGCCCAGGCCTGCTGACCACAGCCCAGCCTGTCCGTGGGGCGGGGTCTGAGCCATACCTGGGGTTCGGTTGCAGGGCCTGTGCCCGGCGGCCGGGAGGACTCCTGCAGCAGGGCCGTGCGCTGGCCCTTACCCTCCTCGTCGGGCTCTTCGTCCCCACGGATGACCGGGCGGAAGGTGGCTGCAGACACCCGGGAGAGCTCAGGGGCCTCAAACACCCCAAATACCTGCCAGGGGACAGCACAGGAACTGAGCGTCAGATCCAGGCCAGCCTCAGCCACAGGGGAGCAGTCGCCCCGGGGCCTGGGCTGGCCGATGGCCTCCTGCTGTCCAGGGGCCATGTGGGTGGAGGAGCAGTGGCAGGACAGGGAGTGGCCTGCAGCCAGGCTTTCTAGTCCCCCTCCTGCTGGCCAGCGTAGAAGCCGATGTGGCCAAAGTAGCCCACGCCCTGCCCTGACGCCGACGGCCCAGCCGCTGCGGCGCACCTGGTCGATCATCCTCCGGGCCTCCTCCACCTCCCTGTCCTGCGCCTCTGTCTCGATGGTGTAGGTCCCCGCGTCGCTGAGGCTGTCGTCCTCTTCCTGTTTGCGTGCCTTGGTCAGCTGGGGGTCTGAAGGGGTGGGCGGAGGGGTCGGCGGGGCCACTGGGCTGGCCCCACGGGGTGTCAGTGGGGCAGGCAGCACCGGGGGCGCCTTCTCCGGGTTCGGCCGGGCAGCAGGGGAGCTGTCCCGCAGACACTGGGCCATGAAGTCCTGTGCCAGGCGGGAGCGGCGCCCCACGCTGCCGAAGGGGCGTGCAGGGGCCCGGGCAGCGGGCGCTGGGCCGCCAGGGCGCTCCTCTGTCTTCTCCCGCCTTAGCGAGCTGGCCCTCTGCGGTCCCGAGCTGCTGCCCACTGCCCGAGCAGGGGCCGGGGCGCCTGGGCGGTCCCGATCAGCTGTCCCGGGGCCACGGCGCTTGTCCTTGGGGTCTCCGGGTGGGGCGTGAGTGAAGGACTGGGAACGCTTCTTGCGGGGCGTGTCCTCGTCATCCCTCCGGAGCTGCCGCTGCAGCCGCACCTGCTCCCCGCCCGCCTCCACCGGGACCCCGCCAGCTGGGGCCGCCGTGGCCAGAGGGTCCTCGGAGTCGCTCTGCGTGCCGTCCTCATGCTTATGGCCTGCAGGGAGACTGCATCCATCGGTCCTGGGCTCACCGCCCCGCCCAGGGGCCGGACAGTGTCCCGCACAGGGAGCCCCACGCTCGCCGGGACGTGCGACAGGACGACACTGGGCACCACCCCAAACCGGCCGGTCGGCGGGTGGCTCTCAGGCAGCAGCGAGATGCAAGCCGACCCGGCCGGCCGGGCCCGGAGCATGTGGACACGGGGGGCGGGG